TGCCGCGGCGATCGCCATTGCGTCTGTCATTAGCGTCCGCGCGCGCGCGCGCGCGATCAAAGATCGATGCAGCTCTGGCCGAAGCCTACGCGGGCGCGCGCGACCCTCGTCGCGAGCCGGCTGCGCGCACACGTCCGCGCGAAATTCATCAACGCCGCGGCGCCGCGGCGCCGCGTTGCAAATGTGTGCGGCGCGCAAAGACCGCGCGTTTAAATGCAGGTACAGCTATAAAATACACATCACGGACGGGGAGTCGCGAGCGCCTGCGAGCGCCTGCGAGCCGACATTAACTTTTACCGTTTTCTCCGAAAAGATTTCTCGCTAAATTTCTCTCTCTCGTATTGAAGCACGCTCGCGGTGATAGTCGCTCGGCGGCAGCTATTGCAGCGGTAAAATTGTCATTAATACACGGGAGGCGGCGCGTCCGCCACTCCCACGCGTGTGGAATCAAGAGATCAGCTGTCCCGCGCGCGAGCTCGCAGCCGCAAAGGCATTTAAGCGCAGGCAGCGGCAGCCCGAGTGGAAAAAGCGCCGTCGCCATAGGCCTATCGCGGCGGGGCCCGCGATAGTGGTAGTCTGACAAAACGCAACGGCGCGCTCGTACCGTTAGCGAAGCATGTGTGCAGCGGCATGTCCTTGTGGGTGGAGAGAATAAGACGCGGAGGCTCGTTAATCACGCGTCGTATTTCATTGTGAGATCGGCTGCAGAGAGAGACTCTATTACCGACCCCCGCACACCACTGCACTGCAGTGACGGCTCGCTCCTTCCATCCCCTTTCCTCCTCGTGCGCGTCGCGTCGCGCCGCGCCGCGCCGCGTGCCTCTCCAACGCTTTATTACTTTGTATGTCGCGCGCGCCGTCGGCGGTACGCCCCCCCCCCCCCCGGCGCGGCTACGTGCGCGCAGATTGACTTCTTTTTCGAGTGCCAGCGCGGAGACTGCGATTGGAATTGGCTATTTATCGTCGATCGCGATCGAGAAGAGCCGTTCGAGGCGCTTTTTTCAATCGAGGCGTGTGCGACGCGAAGTAGCGCGGCGTCAGCCGCAAGCTCGACGCGCCCAAAATAAAGGAGCCTCGACGAGAAGCTGCTGCCGTGATAGGCGATCGATCGGCCGACCGACGGGCTAATCAAGGCGGCGAAACGACAATGGCGCCGGCGTACCTGTTGCTCCCGATCGAGGCTCCGGTGTCGCGCCAAAGCCGTCGGCTCGCGCGAGCGAAAGCACCGCTCGGTGAGCTCGTTAAGTAGCCCGGAGCAGGCCGTCCGCGCGCGATCAGACCGCTCTGGCGATGCTTCGGGCCGGGTAATTGCAGCGGGCGCGCCACGGCACATTACAATCTTGTTGGGACGCCCACAGCGTTAATTGTCTATGCGCGCTACTCGAGCCCGTTCGCGCTTGCCGCTGCCTCGCTGAATTACGTTCGATTTGTTGAAATGCCAGAGATGCGTTAGAGAGGAGCAGCAAATAATTCGCGCAACGCATGCCTTCGCGCTGTCGTTAAGATTCTTGTATTGCGAAGACGCGATTCGCCATATCCAGTATCCACGGGCGACTGCTCGTTCGATAATCCCATCGGTATTTTCCGATTCGAGGAATCTGCGTTCTTAGCAAATTCAAAGTTCCATTTCCCACAGCTTGAATTACAAGAGTGGTCGAAATCTGAGTTCACTCATCCGTTTATTCAAATTGTGCTGATTTGTCAAGTTGGTTTTCTTCTTTTTCCTGGTGCAATTCGCAATATTGGAATTCAATGCGATCAGTGAGACTAGTCAAAAGCGACGTGCAAATTAAACTTAAAGTAATTCGCGGATATTGAAATACGTGGCAAAACATTTTCGTATAGTTATTTATTCTTCTTATTGTCGTGTAAATTGTACCATTGAATCCACGATGAGCTTTTGCTAAAAATGTGACAAGCTCTGAAGAAGTTCATCGAAAGCCAAAACATCTGTGAATTCTTAGCTAAAAAGCACTTGGAGAATTGTGAAAAAGTTGCGATTGAATTGAAAATTTGCAAGTCCCCAAAAAATCGTAAAATTTTAGAAATTATTAGTGATACTCGAAAATACGTAGCCCATCTTATGCCTAGAAATACTTTATAAAGTTGTCCATTTGAATTATTCCAGAAATTATTATAATAATCGTAATTGAAAGTATATACTCGCGTCGAGCGGAGTTGATTTCCGGCGCGAGAGTAAATTCAAACGCTGAGAGGACTTTGAGTGCTTAGAAAAGTTCGAAAGCCGAAATGAATTTCGCTGCTTCTACAGGAGTTCAAGTGCTTGGAAAAGTTTAAGATTGATTATTAAGAAATGATATTGACTTTTTAACTTGTAAAGTGACTCGGAGGAACGGCGTCGTAAGGCATGAATTGAATGGAGGCTTGTTACGAAAAAGGCACTTATAACTGATAGAAAATTTCGATGGATATTACGCATCTGTAGGATGTTTGGCTTGCGTCAATGTTGATTAATTGATGGAATATAAAGTTGGATAATATTTTGGGAGAAGAGCAAAAGATCAAGACTGACGCGAATGTTTGCAACGTTCGCGCTAGTGATCGTTGAATAATTTAGCATACTAGACTGGAGTACGCAATCGACTAATAGCGATGGAATAAGTTAGGGTCTGGCGATCAAACACTAAAATAATTGTAAAGTTGGGAGTCTAATGAAGCTGTCGGGCTTAACGAAGACGGAAGTTTCAACGAAGAAAGTTGAAATCAGGAAAGTTGGGGGCTTGTTTAACGAAGTCACGGGGCAAATGTACGAGTTTGGAGCGGTTAGCCGAGCGGCGTGCGATTTAGGCGAGCGCGTCGGGCGGTTGCGGGTCGAACGAACGTAGCGGACGTTCAGTCAGGCAGTTGAGTGCTTGGGTTTGAACGTCGAAGGCTCTCGAGTGGTCAAAGCTGCGCCGATAGCAGGCTCGTCTCGCGCGTCCCACGCGAAAAAGGCCCCGGCGCTTACTCAAAAGTGCACGCGAGAGAGAAAGAGAGAGAGAGAGAGAGAGAGCGCGCGCGCGCGCTGGCACAAAGTGGCATCGAGCGACAGAAAAGGCCCGCGTCGGAGTATGTACGTAAACAGCGAGATGGAGAAAGAGAAGGAGAAACAAAGCTCGCGAGGAAGAGGAGAGAGCCGCACGTCCCATTCTGTTGCTGCAGGCGCGGCGGCGGCGGCGGCGGCGGCGGCGTCGGCGGTAGCGGCGGCGACGGCGGCTGGCTCTCTTCTCGGAAGGGACTCTCCTCGGCAAATATTCGCCAGGCGAATTCCGCGTGCGCCGACTCGAAAATGTATCTCTCACTCCCAGGCGAGAGTGAGCGTGGGTGCCCGAGCGCTCGTGCACGCGAGTGTGTCGCCGAGACCCGCGAGCTTTTCCGTCAGCGCCTTGATTAAACGCCGTCCTCTCTCCTCCTCTCTCTCTCTCTCTCTCTCTCTCTCTCTCTCTCTGCCGTGGAAAATTTCCGAGCTATGCGGAAAGCGGCCTTTGCCCTTGTTCCTCGTCATTCTTTTTCTCTTTCGGAATGATTTTTGATGAGGCCGCGGCAAAAAAGGAGTTAGAGAAGAGGCGCGGAGCAGCGAGTTTTAATTAACACATGGAGCAGCTCATTTCCTCCTCGCGAGAAAGCTCGTGCCGTGGACGAGTACCGAGCGAGAGAAAAAGAAAGGCACGTCGAGATTATTATGTAGCGAGCAGTCAAAAAGAAGCAACGAGAGGCGCGCGAGAGCGCGTTTCTTGTTTTCTCTCTCTCTCTCTCTCTCTCTCTCTCTCTCTCTCTCTCTCTCTCTCTCTCTCTCTCTCTCTCTCTCTCTCTTGCTCGCGTACAACACGCACCGACTCGCGCGCGGATATATACATACGCAGAAAATGAGCGACGAGAGATGCATAATCGACCAAACCACGTACTTATTCTCGCCAGCCGCTCCTTTTTTCTCTCGCTCTCTCGCTCTCGCTCTCTCGCTCTCGCTCTCTCTCTCTCTCTCTCTCTCTCTCGCTCCTCCTCTCCTTCTCTGCTTCTTTTCGCTCGCTGCTCCGCACGCACGCCCTTCTCGTTTGCCCATTCTCTCTCTCGCTCCGCGAGAGCTCGTCTGTCCCGGGGAGACACTGCACCGGGGAATATGAATAACAGGCGGAAAGAGCAACGTTCGAGGCTCTCTTGCGACTGCACCTTTGTCGTACGACCACGAGCACGCTGCGCAGGCCAATTCCCCGCACGTTCTGCTGCTGCTTTTTCATTAACATAACGTTTTCGAAGACTGCCTTTTTCCTTTTGCTCCGAGCTCCGAGCTGCTTCGCAAAGCTCGCCGAGGCCGTGGTTTTCTTCGTCCAAATAATAAAAAATAAAAAAAACAATTATACGTGTGCGCTATTGAAGGGCTTCATTCGCCTGTACCGTACACACTTACAGTGAATCTTTCGAGTATGCGCATTTCGTTTCGTTCAACGATGCTTCCAGCAAAGTGCTTCGGTCGAATCATTTTCAGTCACCAAAGTAACAATTTACAAATTCTTAGCAGCATTCTGCTGTGCTCTAACTCACTTTTTTGCCGATCACGCATTTACTTATCCCTTAAAGGTATGTTACTTTCCATTCGCTCCAGAATAAATGGTCATCATTGCACTGGCCCTGAGCTTAGATTTACTTTCTATTACAATTCTATTGTAATCTTTCATTGTGTCATATCTAGATAACTCGTGAAAAAATACCCTTTCCTATTACAAATTTTTTCATTGGGCTTAAATAGGACTAACAAATATTAATCTTAATTATTAAAATATGTTGATAATATTTTCTTTTCCAGTATAAATGAAAATTAGGAATGTGAGAAAATAAAAATTGATTGATCGTATTATGTTCCGGATATTAATAATTTTAAAGTTAACTATTTAATTGAAAATAAAACTGTTGAAAACAAATAGATTTCAAATAAAATTGAAAAATGAAAGCCCTGCTTCTTTATAGTAAATTTTGTTGGTAATACTGACAGCATTGCGCATCGATGTCCTGTTTCGACGTTTCAAGTTTCCGGTGTGGTCTCACTCTTTAACACTTCAAAATGGCTGATCAGGTATGTGTTCTTCCAAAAATCTTAATATTTTTGTTAAATAATAAGAGTTTAACAAACTTTTTCAAAGAATCCAAGGAAAATATACTTTATACTGAACAACGAAAATAATAATTAGTTGCTATTAATGTTAGTGTTGAATTAGCATTGCATTTTGACGCTGAATCTGTAACACGTGGTTATATCGTTTTAATACAACTAATCCAAGCTTATTATGTTTTGTAATTAAAAATGTAAGACATTTTTATGTCTGTTTGTGCAGTTATAATTACTTTCATCCCTAGTTTTGCTTACAATTTTATTCAATTGTCATATCATGTATCTCAATATCAATATAACCTCAATAACATTTTCAGCAGCATCATAGCAACGTTTTTTATACTTTACTTATGATGAATCTGACGACGGTCTTCTGATGACTAATTGAACGACAATATCGTCTACTGAAATTGTTTAAAATAAAACTGATACATCTACGTAAGAGTTATACTTGATGATTAATAAGTTGATGATTTCTTTTACAGACTGCCAAGTCCTTTCAGAAACAACCAACAGTTTTCCTTAATAGGAAGAAGGGTTTGTCCAAAGGACGTAAGTCATTAAGATACACTCGTAATGTAGGGCTTGGTTTCAAAACCCCTCGCGAGGTAAATATTCCAAGATCTGTAAATATTATTTCTAATTATTAAATTACAACAGCATGTTCTCACTTGATAAATGTTTTATAGGCCCTTGAAGGAACTTACATTGACAAAAAATGTCCATTCACTGGCAATGTTTCTATAAGAGGACGTATCCTAACTGGTGTTGTACAAAAGTTAAAAATGCAAAGGACTATTGTTATTAGGAGGGATTATTTGCATTACATTAGGAAATATAATCGTTTTGAAAAAAGACATCGTAATATGAGTGTTCACCTCAGCCCAGCCTTCAGGTAATATCTATTGTTTGTTTAAAATTCATATCAGATATTGAATATCTTTCTAATATTATGTTGTCTTACATAATAACCTATTTTGATCATAATTGATCATAATAACTTATTTTGATCATGATTTTAGTTAAAAATAATTTTTAAATAATATGAATTATTCCTCTTTTATAATTTTATGATGAATTTTCATGACGGTCTTCTGAACACTAATTGAAGATATTTAATCATGTCCTGATGATTAAAAAGCAAACAAACTTTAATTGCAATATGGAAACTTTTTCTATATTAATTTATATAATTATTTTTATAGAGACGTTGAAATTGGTGATGTTGTTACTATTGGAGAATGCAGACCACTCAGTAAAACTGTTAGATTCAATGTTTTGAAGGTTTCCAAAGGAACTGGAGCCAAAAAAAGTTTCACTAAATTTTAGGTAATTTATATTTTGTACTTTGTATTTTTATTAAATATTAGCAATGAGTTTTGCTATATTACATTCTTACAATGAATTTAACGATTAATCGAGTGCAATTATTCTCTACTGAGATCATTTTTAAAATTTTATGCTCTTAGAAACTGTTTGAAAAAATTAAGCATTTTTAAACCTTTTTTTTGCAGATTTTTTAAAATCAACTGTAACATCTGAAGAACAATAAGTTATATTGAATTCAACATCCAATTGTAAGTCCTGTATGCTTTATACAGGAAAACCAGTTTAATGTAAAGACCATGCATTACATTAATAAATCACTTAAGAAAATCTTTCTACTTGGTTATTCTGAATTTATTATATAAAATCATTTCAAAACAATTTTCTATTCTTAGAGTTCTTTGTATGCATAAAAATGAAAAATATTGTAGAAAAGCTTGGTGTTAATATATTTTTATTTATGAATTATGAATTTTTACACCACACACCTAACATTTTACGCAACATTTAACATAGTAACATTTTTCGCAAAAAGTAGAAACCACAATTTAGGTAGCTGAAAATCTAAAAATTAGCTATCAGCATATCAATAAATATAAATACATATTTTTCAATAACTTAGAGCTTTGTAAGTCAAAACTGGCATTACTTAAAATTAAAATTAACAAATTAATGTTTTTAACAATTTCTTAATAAAAAAGTCTCATGTTGGATTTAAATTAATAATTAAGATGTTATTTATTAAAGTTGTTTTATATGTATATCAAATCCGTGTACAAGAGCTTTATGCTCTTCTGCAAGGGGACTCAGCTGCCAATGTCTTGGTATAAATATAAAAAACAAAAGAATAAATAAATTTAACTATCTCAACATACCTTATTAGTATAAATTTATTTGGAAGTCGCGAATTACATAAAAAATTGAATGGCATTTGCATTCTGATAAAATCAATTTTTCTTTAAAACATTGCTTACAATTTATATTAATATAATATGTAAATATCTGAGAATATATCAAATTTATATAAAGCTAGTTTATTTAATAATGCTTGTTCATCTAAAATATGAATTTATTAATTTTTGTATAATGTAAATTGCTGAAAAACAAGCATAATAGATGTCAATATCACGAGATAATTAGTAACTAATTTATCAGCTATCCTAAGGCACATGCATTTCTATAAATTTCAACTGCATTATAGCTTGCAAAATTATCAATCAGATAGAAGACTATTGTACAAAAATATTTCTTTTATAAAAAAATTTTTACTTATCGTATAATTATCACATACCATTTTGATCAAACCCAATCTATAGGTAATGGTATCTAATTTTCAGTATCAAATATAAAAAATGCCATGTTTTATAAATCACAACTTTAAAAACTTTTAAAAATTATCAATTAGTCAGATCTATTAAGCTAGCTAACTTATTTTTGTTAAGAATTATGATGCTCAGCTATGTACAATACATAAATTATTGGTCCAGCAAAACCAAGTAACAAGGAAAAACATAACACTTGGTACCAAGATAATCCCCAGTCAGCTCCGGAACACGTGAATGTATTCACAATATTATTGTTTGTATTACTTTTGTTATAATCTACAAAACTAATCAATTTATCAGTTTCCGTATCTTCTACAAATGGAGCACATTCACTATTAAACTGTGATAATGATTCAACTGTAGAGTTCATAATGATATTATTGATTTCTATTGCTGAAGATGATGGAGTTGGAATCATTAGTACATTAATTATTTCATTTTCTTTAGAAACAATATCATTTCCAGTATTGATGAGTAAATTTGATTTAATATCCTGATCTGTTTTGCTATTGTCATTTTTTGTTTCAGTTAAAAGTGAAAATGGTTGTATCGGTACCTTTATTGTTCGATGAGCATGTATTTCATTGTCCTTGTGTATTTTATTGATTCTTTTCAACTCTGATATCTATGTAAACAGATACATAAGTTTTAACTTGTAAATTTTAGTTCTAATTATAAATTTCTTTATATAAACTTGAAATAGAAAAAGAAAAATTACTAACTGTACATTGATATCTAAGAGCTAGTGCTTGAAGTGTGTCTTCTGATTGTACTTCAATATTTATTACCTCAATTTTACGAGGTGTTCTTTCAGAAGATATTTCCTTTTGCATAGGATATTCATCATTTTCACTCTTTTCATCATCAGAGTATAGGAATACATAATATGGTGAGCTTTCTTTTTGATTCCCCCTTTGATATGCATGCCTGAAATTTACAAGAATAAATAAGCTTGACAAATTATTTTTTTCTAAGATGTCAAATTAGTAGGCTGAAAAATCCGTCAATGTAGAAAAAATACATTTTATATAACAAAAATTGACTGAAATCTGTCAAGGAAGAAAGGTAAACATAACCTTAGTAAACATAACAGATTGAATACCTTCCTGATTTTTGAGTTTCACTCGTTCCGCTTGTTGATTTCTTTCGCATTTTTAATTTTATGTTACAAAATTATTTTCCATAACTTATCGATCTAACATGTTATCAAATTGTAGGCTATTAAAACCTTCAGACGTCATTCCATTTCATTCCTCTACACAAATGGCAATTGACTGTAACACTGCGAATGAAAGTTTCTTTTAATGAGAACAAGGTATTGTTCAATATTGGATATTTGATAAGTAAGCTCCACGCTGAATAACTGTTTTATTATAAATGAGTAAGCAATTGATGTACCGTGAAAAATTATTTTGAAAAATGACTATTCCAATCTTTCGTTATAATACTTCAATCAATGATTCTATTTTTTAACAATATTTTTAATTCAAATTCGTAAAAAAAATAACAAAATAACAAGTCTAAAATATGAAAAATTCTTTTTATTAACAAAATTTCATTATTTGGTTATAAATATATCTGCATAAAATTTATAAATATTAAATAATTCAAAATAAATTATTTTATTGAAATGAAAATTATCCGAACTTTTTGAATTCTTGTCCGAAAAATAAATACACAGGAATGTTACTAAATGAAACAAACAAATTAAAACTCTACCAAACATTACATATAAGTTTGAGTGCGTGCATGTGCGTTGACTCCGCGATTCACGTTTCCACACACACACGCACACACGCGGGCACACACTCATACACACACGCACACAAAAGCCGATAATCAACATAACCTTGTTTCGAAAATCGTAAGTGAGGATAACCGAGAATTTTAAAGTACAATTTTTATAGTGAAGAAATTCTTAGTTGAACGTAAAGCGATAAAGTTATTAATAGTAATTATAGAAACGCAATTTTGCAAACAAAAACATACGATATTTGACTATGTTCCAACGGCTCTGGTCTTCTAGTTCTCGTCGTTTTTCGGTATGTAATGTAATGATATGAAATGTTTTATATAAATCTAAATTTTCAGTGGACGTTTTTAAAATTTGTTGAGTTCAATTGATAGTACAAAGATGAATAAACTAAAAATCTTACAGTTACTATCCAGAGTTTGGAATGGGCCACAAAATAGTTTGTCTGGCAAACAAGCAGAAGAAAAAATGGTAGCTATTCTACGATCCAAATTTCCTCAGGCTAAAGTTATTGAAGTTTGTGATGTATCTGGTAATAATTAAATTTTCATAAAATTAAATTAATAATTTTATTTAACAATATAATATTTTAAATTGAAGGAGGATGCGGTGCCATGTTTGAAGTAAATGTGATTACTCTTGAATTCAAAGGCTTAAATACTGTCAAACAACATCGTATTATCAATGATGTAAGATGGAGTAAACATTGAATAGTATTGAGATATGTAACATAAATTATTTTAAATATTATTCAATTTTGTTGGTTTTAGGCATTAAAAGATGAAATCAAAGATATGCATGGCATTCGAATACACACAGGCACTCCTGAATCATAGGTAGTCATTGTTTTCTATTATTAATTCATTAAAAAGTTATTACACATGTACATATACATTAGTATCATTAAAAATATGGTTTTATTATAGTTTTCCTACCTCAATAGCACATATTGAAATTGTTGTTAGCATCAAACTACTTTGAAATATGTATTTTGAGACAATCTTTGTTCAAATAAATGAAAAATGTAAGACATTAGAAACAACATTTTTCTTTTTTAGTTTTGAATGAAAAGAATTAAAGAATGTAACTTAAAAATTTGCGGCGTTTGCGCTCGTTTTAAAACAGAGGGAGTAACATTCGCTTTGTCGGTCACGTAGATTTAGGAGTGATTATTATGACGCGTCAGTCGGCGTCACTGGTCAAATCGTGTAATATTTTGGAGCAATGGCGGTTGAGAACAAGTAGTACGAGTAAAGAAAATTTGGTTATAGTTGTTAGTTAAAAAATAAATAATAATGAATAAAGTTACTGGTACGTTGTTTCACGAGAAACTTCGAGAACTTATTCCTAGTTTGTCTAGTAGTATTACGCCAGAAGTGCTGAATAAGTTATGCGAAGACGATTCTGTGCAACCATTTCTGAAATGGTTTTATATAAATATAAACAAAGAGAATATTCTTTCAGATGGGTGCATTAAGTTGTAAGTATGCCATAGCCTTTTCAAGTTTAATGCTGTATACTCATAATTTCAATACTCTATTTTAGGAAGAAGTTTATAGAAAAGAATGACACGTGGTTACAGGGCAAAGAACTTGAGTTAGCCCTTGAAGAGACCACTCAAAGATGTCCAGAACTTTTGAAACTAATTGAATCAGATTATTGGAATAACAATCAATCTGAAGTAGATTTCAATGCAGAAAAAGAATTGTATAATCAAGATCTTGAATATCTGCAGTTCATTGAAAATAGTATACAAAAACTCAAGTAAACAAATTTGTGTTATTTGGAAAATTTATAATAGCATTTTTCAATGGCTTTGATATAGTGTAATATCAATTTTTATGATAATTTACAGACTGTTAGAAGAAAAACTAGATATTGATCTTGAAAATGAAACTGATGCAGTAGAAAAAGAAGACATAAAAGTTGAATTAATGTATAATGACTGTATGTCAATTTTAGAAGACTTCGATGATTGTCATCGGCAGTTTTTTACAGCTGTTGATCTTTTAACTGAAACTTATAGAAAAGCTTTTCAAAAGGTAAAACAACTGTTTGTAACAAAATTACGATTTGACTGATTTACAATTTGTTATGCTTAATAGAAAGGAGATCCTTGCATATGGACGCAGATGCCAATAGAACTGTGCATAAAACAATTGGAAACCTACAATAATTATTTAAACACTTATGCAAAAACACAATTTTCAATGTCCCCAAAAAATGACACATCTCACACAGACCATCATAGTTTTTTAAATGAAAGTTGTGAGAATGAAAAATTAAGAGAGTTGATTAATTGTCAAACCAAGTAAGAACGACTTGTAATATATATAGATAATAAATATTTAGTAGAGATATTAAATGTTAAATGAATGATTGAACTCAATTTCTAGTCTATTTACGTCGAAAATGCACGAAATAATGGCTAAAATAGAGGAAAATGCCAGTAAAAGTTTAGTAAATTATGTGAAGAAAATTTATAATGATGGAAATTTACAAGCTCCCAGTACACCATTATTAGCCAGGTAATTATTTTGCAGTTCTGGTCTACTTTGAAAAGCAATTTTATTTAATATTTTCTCTATTGATTAACTAATAATAATAATTAGGGCAGAAATAGCTGAATTAACAAATCATCGCGACTTCTTAGAAGAAAACGTGAATCTTTTACAAGAACAGCAATTAGTTGATGTAGTACAGCAGTTATCAATAACAAAAGTTATCAAAATTATGGAGAAAGAAGCTCAAGCTCGACTAGATAGAAGGAAAGATAAGCTTTCAAGATTACAAAGATTATGTACCCTTGCTAGGGAACATGGTTATGCATTTTCAACCTTACTGTGTATGTTATTTGAATTACAAATACATCGAATCAATGAAATTGTACAGTTCGTGATAGACGCTCGTTATTATCTGTCTATGGAGTACTCGTTATCATCCACTCGAAGCGTCAGTTACCATGATTTATTGTAACGTCCTAGTTATTTATTGCAATATAATGGAATTTCATGCTGTCTATTTGATTTTTATTTTAGGATATTATGCTAGAACTTGAACATGAATATAAAACTATTTCGTCATCTCCTACAGATAAAAACGCTTTCAATCGATTTTTGTTAGAAATGACATCACCTGAAGAACTAAAAAATGACGTACAAGCATCTGCTCAATATTATGAAGAATTAAGAAAAGACAACACCAACAAATTACAAATACTATTGAATAAAAAATTAGAAGAAATGATTGAAAGCTCAAAAAATTTGTTAGTATTATCTAAATATCTATAATTTTAGAATACATACTCATAACTATTTTTATTGTTATATCTTTCTAGAGAAGAGAAAGTGTTAAGCCAGTATAATCAGGAAATAATTAATAATCCAACATTAAGCTTTAAAGCAATACCTTATCATGTTCAAAATGAAATAGATAAAACAGTGAAGCAACTAGAAAAGTTGGAATCAAATGTAGAATCAATGAGAAATAGATTTAAAGTGATGATTGTAAGTATCAAGTATATAATACTCTGCTTTAATTCTTACAACAATCATATTTTACTTGTTTTTAATTTTATAATTTACAGAATCAAACTGACACACCTAACTATGAAAGGGAAAAATTATTAATTTGGCAAAGATTTTTAGCAGATCCAGAATCTTTGAAAAGTATGTGTGAAGAGTATGAAAAGCTGAGAGATCATGCTATGTTTTAATGTGAAATTGAGACTTTGTTATTAATTTGAGGACATTTGTACATAAAATAAAATGTCTACTTTTGTATAAACTTTTACCGCACGTGATCAATTCATGGTAAGCCCATTAAACTAATCTTCCTCTTGGAGCAAGCACTGACCTAAGTTGTACCAGCAAGCCAACAAAAGAAAGCAAGTGTTGTTATAAATTTGTCTGCCAAAGTGTATCAACCCATTGCAGAGAGAATAATGCGACAACGACAGCAGTATTACCTAATCGTTCTAGCAAATCGTCGAACGAGAGGTCATGTGCTCTCTATAGATGAATGATTTCTTGTGAGCATGAGTCTGGCGGCACCGCGAGACTCGCTGCCGTACGTGTGACGTAAGAGGCCACGCGTGTGTACACCGAGCGGTCTCCCTTCGTTTGCGTAACCTTGATCTGTAGCGTTGCCGCTGTCATATCCCCCCTCTTCAATTTACTATTTAAGTTATTTTTATAAGACTCTGCATCGCATGGAAAATTTCGTGGAATTATCCACAGGTAAACAGCAAGCCTATTTCTCAGAAGATCAATGCATTCCTTGCCAGGCCATTTACAGAACCCAACATTGACTTATGTCAGTAAAGGGCAGCAGGTATCGTAAATACGAGGTAAGAGATTAGTGAGGGTATCGCTGTCGAAATAGGATCAAGGAAGGAAAAAGGAGAAAGCCGTGTACATTATCGATTTGCCTGGGATTCGAGTTAACGGTTTGTTTACACAGCATAAAGAGAGAGAGAGAGAGAGAGAGAGAGAGAGAAAACCTGAGGCAACCGGTGCGCATGCGTTGCCCGACCAAAACAATAATAACAGAGACGGCGGCGCGGCGGCAAGCAAGCGAGAGCCTGTGAGAGAGAGGGAAAAGTTGCTCTCCGCTCTCTCAGTCTGCGTCTGGCAAGCGAGCAAGCGAGCAAGAGAGTGAGACTCGCTCGAATTCCAAACACACACGTACTATACCCACACTAATTCTGTTCTCGACGAAAGAGAACGCGAGTCTCCTGACCCAAGAGCGAGCAACTACACGCGCAGGCATAGTTGAAAGAGTACTTGCTCGAGCCAGAACCATGTACGATAATTTACACGAATATATACGCAGGTTTGTTGTTAATCGTGCAGTCTAATTGTGCATTGTGCAACGTAAACAAACACCTCGGTACGTTGGATATTCGCAAGGCCAAACAAAAACAAGGAGCGCGTGCGCCGATAACGAAAAATATCAACACAACGGGCTCTGCTAGTGCACCACCACTACCACCCGTCATTACTACTCACCGCTGCTCGCTGCTGTTATGTGTTTCGTTTGATCCAGTTTCGTTTGAAATAGCAGGAGCTTTCTAAACGTGTGGTGAATCACGCTCACCTACGTACTCATACACAGGAGAGTGCGCGCGTGTAATTGATAAATAGTCGGGCGCGGTGCGTCACACGAATTGTTGGAAGTTTCCCGGAAAAAGCGCTGTCTGCCGCAATAACAAGAACAACAGGAGCACAGCATCGTTTGAGATAAAAAAAGAACCGAGCAAGAGATCTCGTGCGTGTCACTACGCACGATAAAAAGTGAGGCAGCAGCAACACAGACAGGAAGAGGGAGGAGGAGAAAGAACGCCGCGAGTACACCTGCTGGTTCTCTCTCTCTCTCTCTCACACACACACACACACAAACACTCGGAAAGAAACAAAATGCCGAGCGCCGAAGAGACGACCTATCTAATCGAAGTAATGCCTGACGCAACATCTCTGAACCAGGACTTTGGTTCGCGCGACGTCGACGTGCTCGTCTCGCGCATCAAGGAGAATCTCAGGCTCACCAGTCCTGAAATCTCGATCGAGCCTCGCACACAAGATGCGTCCCAGCCCTTACACGCTACCTCGTAAGCATGCTCTCTATGAGAACGACGTCTGTGAGTTGTGTGCGCGTGTTGAGTAATTCCTTCAGTGAGTCGTCACAAGAACAGCAACATCAACAGAATCACCTTCGCCACACAAAACATTGCCGACAGCGCAGGCGGCTGAGGCGCGAGCTCGACGATTACGAGCGCTTTAAGGTACTACTGAAAAAGGGCGCTCTCATTAAGGAGGCGGTAAAGAGGTTACACGTCGAGTCCGTGGAAGACTCCTACACGAGCGACGATGAGAAGTCGCGAAAGGGCGGTATGACGGGCGATAACAGTGAAGACGAGGTGAGCGTCGCTGGCGACGACTTCTACAGGAGAAAACACTTCGACTACGACGACGAGGACGAGCCGCATTACCACGACATCTACCTCGGCGAGCTCGAGTAATATGCAGCTGCCGCTGTTTACTGCAACGAAGAAAGGGAAGCACAGCGCCATACATGGCACGGCCGGATAGCTCAGCTCTGTTTGTAAATACACATATAGCAGTGTGAGTGCTTGTGTGAGAACGAACGAGAGAGAAAGAGCGCGTGCGTGTTTCGTGAGCTTCGGCCGAGTTCGCCGCTCCAACTATGTGTGCATGTATGTGCCCCTCGCGCTCTTTGAGCTAGTTCCATCTGTGTGTTAGCGCCAACACGAGTGCTCGCGAGCTGTATAAGCTATACGTACATCCATCTTGATACACGCACGCACACATACACGCGCACGCGTTATCGTTATCTTGATGCTGTGTGCGTGTCTCTTCTGTTGTGTCCTCGCCGCCACCGCGTAGCTTGGTGCAAAGGAGGGGAGAGCTGCCAGTGTATTTGTGTTTACGTTGCGCCTCTATGTGACAATGACTGGGAATTTTTTCTTGCGCGGTTTCTCTCTCTCTCTCTCTCTCTCTCTCTCTCTCTCTCTCTCTCTCTCTCTCTCTCTCTCTCTCTCTCTCTCTCTCTCTCTCTCTCTTTATTATTCAACTCCGAGCCTGCTGTTGATTTAATCATGTTGCGCTCTCATTATTAATTGCTACCTTTTTGTTCTCAGTCGATAATTTCTGGCTGATGATCATTGAAGAATCGTCTGTGACTAGGACTTTTCCGTCAGCACTAATAATATTCTCGGCAGCTCGTATTTTAGTTTTAAAAGCCAGCTCTCCTCTCTCACTCTCAGTAAGTCAGACGTACTGCAAAATAGTTATATGGTGTGTATATGTGTGTGCATGCGTGTCTCGTGATACTATCGGCGATCCTGCTTACGTCACCGTCGTCATCGTTGCTTCCGTTCGGTCGCGTGATGCAACGACTTGGATCGATCCATCCTTTTCTCTATAAATACACGTGTTACACGTTACTCCACTTGGCGAGTGTCCTTTTCTTCACCGCGAGCATTTATATATTTATTTTGTAAAAATTTATGTAAATATTTTAGGATAAACGCTCATTTTTTTTCTTGCTTTTCTTTTATAATTACTTTTCTTTTGTTATCAGTTTCTTGGGTTTTGAAGCTACAAATTTATTGAGATAAAAATTACGCAATACGCATGACGAAGAAAAACAGCTTATTTTTGTTGGATTGAATAACTATTGACGCATATATATCTTTACATATTCAAGCTTTTTGAATCGATGATTGCCTTATTGTACGTTCCCAAAGGTTCATTCTGTAAATAACAAAACCGAATTAAGCGCGCGAAAGGTGCATGAAACGTCGAGAAGATGTAATAAAACTATTATTTAAAAAGGAAGTATTAAAAAATCAGCGATAGTAGAACTCTTGGTTATTACGATTTAGTTAGCCACGCCTATAATTTGTTTTCTAATTAATTACTATGTTCATTTGTTGCTCATCATCACACGGTCCATTTACTTTTGCGTTTGCCGCATTGTTCCTATGTATTTTGCTGTAATAACGTCGGAATTGCCAAGTCGTGTTTCTTTTCGCAAAACGACTGTTTTCTCTCCTAAGTTGTAGGCATCGTGAATTATTGTTTAGAAAACATAAGTTCCCATGGCCAACTGGAAATAAAAAAATCTCATTCTTAGTTAAGTTAGTCTGGAGTGTGTGCTTGTGTGTTTATGCGTATGTGCGCGCACGCGCGGCCAGTAAGTGGATGAAATTTGCAAAAGGGCACCGCGGCAAAGACAATTTTACGACAAAAAAATGATGCAGGTCTCTTGCGGCGAGGAAAATCCATCACAATCCGCGTGTCCTTATTTAGCTTGCATTCTCCATCTTACTCTATCTCAGGCTCGCAATCCTACTACCTTCTTCTGTCTCTCTGTCTCTCTCTCTTTCTCTCTCTCTCTCTCTCTCTCTCTCTCTCTCTCTCTCTCTCTCTCTCTCTCTCTCTCTCTCTCTCTCTCTCTCTCTCTCTCTCTCTCTCTCTCTCTCCCTCCCTCCCTCCCTCCCTCCCTCTCGTATAAAGTCAAACATGGTCAATCAAGCCTTTATACTGACACAGATATATACACCCTCGATTCGTCACTTGGCCTTTCTCTCTTTCGACTAATTTCGTTAATTATCTATTTTGGTCGTCGTCAGCAACTGGAACTCGTTAAAATGTTCACGTACAAATTTTTTCTAAACGAATTGCAGCTCCGTTAATTAGTGCTAACGGGATAAGCGTTAATCGCGAAAGGATTTCTCATTTGCGATTAGCGTCGTATCACCTTTCAGCCTTTGACATTCAATATGCACAATCGCGCCGAGTTGCTTTATGTAACGTACGGCGGTTATGCGTATTATGTCTTTTGAGGTTGGGCTGTCGCTGGCAAACATAAAAAAGCTTTTTTGCAAATAACGAGGAGGTTTGATCGCGTGACTCGAGTGAAAATTTTAACGAGTTCGTTGTGTCGCCGTCCTGCTCCGCACGATCGCGCAAAATCAATCTCGGTCGAGCAACGAAAAAAAGTGTCGAGTTGATAACGCGCGACGTTGCACGCCGAAAGAGAGAAAAGCCAAGCTTGCGGAACTTCCTTCTGGATAAGAGGTGACCTTACCGCTTGAACAGTTCGCCACAAGCCAGACACGCATCTGTGCACGTATCAATAAGTCCACCCTGCTGTCCTACCACGCGAGTTTATCTTCCTTACACGCTTCGAGTGTTAAATAAAAGAAGCTAAATTTGCCTATTTTTTATCGTCGTAATTGCAACATGAAA